GGGACTAATATTCCTAGGCTCTGCTGATAGTGCATGTGAGGAAAACTCCTCAAGAAGGCGGATTAGACTCCTATTCTGAGTCATACTGAAGTAATACTGAAATTGCACAATATTACTGCATCATAGGCACTATGCAGAACAACACAGAAATACTGTAGATTTCCTGTTTGCTTTTTTTATTTCTCTTTCTTCAGATATTTCAGACTACAATCCAGCAGGGCATTATCAAGTGCAAAATACTACAGTTTAGAATTTCACTAGGTGAATTAAAACAAACAAACAAACATCCCATGAACGAGAAAATAATTTGCCTTCTTTTCTCTACCCCACTTAGCTGAAAATGGGTGAATTGATTTTGTCAGACTTTTCCTAAAATTCACCTTTGCTTGAGAAAAGGCAGAGGAAGTCTCTACCTAAAAACTGTAGTGACAGTGTTGTAGCCATGGCTGCCTATGAATATATAATTTCCCTCCTTTCTTCTCCTGTAATCTGTTAGCTAGAAGCAGCGGAACAGCTTTTGCATAGAGGTGCTTCAGTGGGTCTTCATAAAAGTTTATCTGCTTTTTCTATATCAACAGGTCTGGTAAAAACTAAAACGTTCATCTACAGCTCTTGCTAATTCAAAAATAAATAAAAGAACAAAATAGAATTTACATTGTAAGGAATTAGAATTGCACTGCACGAGCATAAGGCACAGTTTAAAAAATCTTCCACAAAACATCATGAAAAAGCGTTCAAATATGCTGTTAAGAGAGAGGTGAAACTTACCAGCAGGTGAGTATACCTCTAAGTAGTCAATCAAAATAAATAAGCACATATTGCAAACCCTAAATGACCTAAAGTCCACTAAATTGTTGAAAAAATAATTCCCAGGGAGATAATGCTCTATTCTAAATTTATTTTACTGAAATATATTAATTTGCATTTGCAGAACAATTCTCTAGTAAAAAGTAATCTTACCAGTGGGCATTCCAATAGTAAAGCATCTTCTATTTTTTCTGATTTAGGAGACTTTGGCTTTTGGTAAAGTATTCTTGGCTCTTGTGCAATACTGGAGGAAAATGATTGCTAATCATTAGTATACTTTATAATAAACTACTTTCTGTCAACAAGTCATTTCATACATTTTTATAAATCTGGTATTCTCTTCAGGCCTATCACAACTCTGAACAGCTCATTTCTAGTTTTTTTTTTTAAGTATCACCCAAAATAGCTCTCAAAATATGGCATAATAAATAATCGTTAATATAAAGTAATATTTAAAAGCTAAACTTTTCTATGTTTTTTTTTAATAAAACACTTCAGAGTAATAGTCTTACTTTAGTGATATGTATCTAAAAAAATAATAATATTCCAGAACTTCAGGATCATTCTGGAACCTTCCCCTCAAGTTCTTCCAACGTTGCTTTTCATAATATAAAAATATAGTATCATTTACAGGTATTTTTAAAAAAATTACTAGCAGAATAAGAGCTTCATAGTGTGCATGGTGTGCATTTTCTCCCCCTGAGGGAGAAAATGAGACAAAGATAAACTTATAAGATATTATACAAGTTAATCCAGTACTAGAAACCATTCAGACAGCACAGGAATGAAGCATGGGTAAGCGTTACATAGATTTAGAGCTTTGCTGTAAGTGATAAGAAACTATTGGCTTTGTAGCATTTCTTTTGGGCTTGATCCTTCTTGATAACACTTGCATAAATCTAAATTAACTTAATTTATCTCTCAGTGGTTTACACTGATGGGAGTATTTTGTCTTTTGCATTTTGTATTATATTGTCCCAATGCAGTTCTGACCACAACTTCATTCGGCAACACAGTTCTCTCAGTTCCCGCTTCTTGCCTCACCAGAGGCCAGGAAGTGAGCTGGTTTGAGCAGGACTTCCCATCCATTACCCTGCCCTGTGCTGCCCCCCAGCCTATGCCTCTGTTTGTGGCAGCAAGAGAATACAAGAGATCAGAGAACTGACCTGCAAATGAGACACATTAACAAAGATCTGCAAGTACTCAGCACACTCTACCTTTAAGTGAACAATAATTTACTTCTTTAATGAAGGATTCATAGACATTGTACCAAGCTTGCTGCATAGGCCGATTTTGTGACACGTTCTTTAGTACATGGCTAGTTACCGGACCACAAAGAAGGGAACCACTGTTTGATCTGCCTTTTAGTGCAAAATTCTAAAATGCTGATCATCTGAAAACCCTATTAAAGCGTTCTGAAAGCTGATATTATGCAGCACGAATAAGATTAGGCTTTTCTTCACCAAAAAAAAAACACTCTGGAACTTCTGTTGTCACAAAACAGTTTTCACATTAAAGAACAAAAGCATATGAGTGTGATTTAATATAGAATTATGCATCTGGTTATTTTCTGGTGCACATAAGTAAATTCAGCTCACTTCATAGGGGCTATTTGGACGAGTCAAGCTAGCTACATGTCTAAATCAGAATCTCAGTGTTAAACTATAAGCCAAGGTAACTTTAAAGTTTATTACCTGCTAATACAGCACTGGTAATTGTCAAAGTAAATTCTTCCTCTTTCATAGGCAATGGGAGATGCAGAATGAGTTGTCCAAACTTTCTTGAATTTAGTACTTTCCTGAAACAGATAGTTACTGTAACAGTGATGGCTTTGTAACAAACCATGCTTCTAGAAAATATTTCACTTGGCTCTTACAACTTAATAGCTTATTTTAGTTGAACTTACGCTGTTGAATACGAAAAGGATTTTTTAAAAACCAAAATAAAAGAGCATCTTGCCATTAACTTACCTGCAATAAAATTAAAGTTGGCAACTGAATTTTAATGGCAACTTTTAAAATTAAGGATAAAATTCCCCTTCATGTAAATGTGGGCATAACTTAGTGACTTTACTGAACACCTGGCCCCATTCTGCTGTGGGTGTTTTGTGTGAAAGCTAAAATAGGGTGCTTACACAGTTATTTGCAAGAAGGTCCTGAAACGTTAATGGGATAAACCACTCACACAGACAAAGTTACTTGTGTTCATTAGAGAAATCAAAACCTCTGTACCAACAACAAAGGTTCCAACCCTAGGCAAAAAGTGTTTGTGCAAGTCAGAATCAGATGGAGTTTTACTTCAGTAAGCCTGTGCATGCATGCAGATCTAGTTGTGTAAGTGGACCTCACACTTTAGCTGACTTGTAATAAATGTGTTTCCAGATATAATGCAATTGCTACCTTCAACTCACTTCTGCATGTTCACTTTCACTGTGCTTCTATCGATTACTGCTTGGGAGCAGTAATCCTTTAGATGCAAAATACAGTTCACTTAAGGTTATAGTTGCTTTAGTTTCAATTTATAATTAATATAAATTTCACTGTCGTGTTAGGGATATGTTTATCTTAAGATGCTAGTTATGTTTGTTGTGAGAAGTGCACTGAACTTCACCCAAGTTTAACATGGATGCTCCCCCCCAGAAATACGGATTTAATATTAAATATTAAGCCAGCTTAGGGGAAGAAGTAAAGTGATGTAAAATCTCATAAATTTATGACTATTTCTAACTTGAGTGTTACACCTATAAATGCTTCTGGTGTTTCTCCTGTGTAGTACTCTACATTTGTGGGCCTGAGTTTCATAAAATAAATTTAACCACTTCTAACGCTCTTCAGCAGAATTCTCGCTTTTTGCTCCCAAGACTCCCTTCAGGCAGCGCCCGCACCGCCGGGCGGCAGGTCTGCGTGCCCGGACTGACGGTACAGTCAGCGCTGGAGAACATGAGCCGCTATTACCTGACATATTATCTTTCTGAGGAGTGCCATGTTTTTTCTGTGGGCAACACCAGCATCTTTGGTATAAAATCCGTGAGCCCTCCTGCTGAGGAGGCGGCAGACGTTGCGGGCCTCCGGCGCCCTCCCGGCGGCGGCGGGGCACATGCCTGGCTCCGCAGAAGCGCTCGGTTTCCGGGCTCGTTTCCTGGCTCATTTCTGGCTCGCCAGAAACCTCGAGCTGCTCCGCACAAAGAGACGCGTCGTTACAGGGCCAGGGCCACCGCCTACTGCCGGTCCCTCTCACGCCTACGCCCTGCCAGGCGCGAACCAAGCCAGGCAACGGCGTGAGTGCCCCCTCCCGCCCTCACCCGGAGCCGACGCGCCTGAGGCTGCCCG